TGAGGTACTGTTGATTATGGCTTAAACTTTTGAGTCTGAAGGAAGCAGAGCTCAGATCACAGCAAAGTTATAAATTAAAAACTCTTAGTATCCTAAAATTTCTAGTTAGCACCCAACTTTTTACTATGAACATGTTTGCTTTAATTCATCCAGTAAGTTCTACACACTGTATCTACTTGTGTCTCCTAAGCCCCCCTTTTTGTGGGTTTATATTTTTCTTTTATTGAAAATAGATGTTTTCATACAATATATTCTGATAATGGTTCCCCTTTCCCAGCTCTTCCGGGAGTCCCCCGTCTTCCCTCCCACTGGAATCCATGCCTTACCTTAAGCCTTTTACTCTTTTGTGCTGTTAGAGTTTACAGTGAGACAAGTCCAGTAGAGCTGGCCATGTCCTCATTTTCCTGCTGATAGTTACCATCAGGTGTTATTTTTTATTTTTATTTTTTTATTTTTTTATTTTTTTTGGGGGGGTTTTCGAGACAGGGTTTCTCTGTGTAGCTTTGCGCCTTTCCTGGAACTCACTTGGTAGTCCAGGCTGGCCTCGAACTCACAGAGATCCGCCTGCCTCTGCCTTCCGAGTGCTGGGATTAAAGGCGTGCGCCGCCGCCGCCGCCGCCGCCGCCGCCACCTTGCTCGGGTGTTATTTTTTTCTGTCCTCTGTGTGTATAAGAAACTGTCATTGAACTCAAAGGTTTCATTGGCTTCTGATTTCTTGACAGGTCTGCTTTGTAAGTAACTGGATTCTTTCATCTCCTCCTTTGAGGGAGATGATAACCAGTGGCTTACCTCCATTTTGAACATCAAGGGCTGCAAGATGACACTTTTCAGAGTTTATCATTCCTTTGTTTTGCTGTTCTATCCCCAGGTGGCGCAGTTAGTACAGGAGATGTAGCAAAAAACATGTCTCAGTATTTTCTCATTTACAAAGAATCAGTGATTTGGTTCTTCAGTGTCCTCCAATGTCACAAATAAGATCGTCTTCTTTATTTTCTCTGTGTGTATGTATGCATATGCCTGTGTAGAAAAGACTAGTCTTCAGGAAAGACAGTGTCTCCACATACTGAATCACCTTTCACTTCCTCAGAAGGTCAGTTGACCATACCTTTTTGGGTCTATTTCTGAATTCTTTCCTGTACCATTGACTTATGGGAAAGTCCTTATGTTAAAACATGCTGTTCTTGTTTCTGTGCTTTACAGCAAGTCTCAACTTGGGTTATATAAATCGTCAGATAAAATGTTACATACAGTTGTTCATACAAATTATTTTCATTCTCCCAAGACACATGTCTTTCTAGATAAAGCATAAGTCAGTCTGTCGGTTTCCACAAGATAAGCTTTCTGAGTCTTCTAGTCTAGTTCTCTTTCACTGATTTAGGACTTCTCTTCTATAATTACTTTCAGCTTTCAGAATATTGTGCTTATATGTGCTTTGTCAAGTGCGTACTTAAGTTTTTCTTATTTTTCCTGCTCTTGTACATTTACTTCCTTTCCCAGGCTTTGTAGTACACATAGATATAATTGTTGTTGATCTGTGTTAATTAGCCAAGCTTTTATTCTGGCTTCCTTAAATTTTCCTAAGTACATGGTCATGTCACCCACAAATATAGTTCTACTTCTTTCTAGTCTATATTCCTTTGATTTCCTGTTCTTGCTTATGGCATGGATGAGGATCTCTAGTGAAACATTGAGTAGGCATGGAGAGTGGACACCAGCATATCTAGAGGGCAATTGCTACTCTGAGCACTAAGCATGAGGTGTAGGTGTGTCTTATCTGGTTGGGAAAGAGCCTGTCTATTGCTTGTGAGTTTGTATCCTGTTGGGTTTTATGAACCGCTTTCTGCATCCCTCGGTTGATCCTGAGATTCTCTCGTCCCTCTGCTACCACGGTGAGGTAGTTACTAGATTCCTACGATAGTTGGCACTTACTGCTTGTTGGTAGCACTTTGTGTGTTGGGAGATTCCATTGCTAGAGTTTTCGTAAACTTTTTTTTGCTCCTATGTTCATAAAGTATGTTGGTTTATGATAGACTTTTCTTGAACTACTATTCTGGTCTTGTGACATGAGCTAAGGTCTGTACTAAGTTTAGTACTTTATTCTTAAATGTTTGGTGGAATCAGTCAATGAAAACAACTGTGTTGAAACTTTTTGAGGGAAGGTTTTAAATAGATCTTTTTATTAAGATTAAAATATTTTTATGTATATTAGTGTTTATGCCTGTATTGTGTGTGTGCGTATGTGCAGCACAGATGTACCTAGTGCCCACTAAGCCCGGAAGAGGGTATCGGATCCCCTGGACCTAGTGTGACAGATGGCTGTGAGCCACTCTGCTGGTACTAGGACCAAATCCAGGTCCTCTGCAAAAGCAGCCGAGTACTTTTGTCTGCTGAGCCATGTCTCCAGCCAGAGGTTGGTTTCTTTAACCGAGATATTTAGCACTCTTTTGTGAATGAGTGTTGGTAGTATCCTTAAACTATTTCATCATAAATGTTTAACTTTTGGGAAAATGGTTCAAGATGGTCATTATTTATCTTATTGATGGTCATAGAAGCTCCAGTAAGGTCCTGGCTTTCCTAATGCTTGTAATACCTTCCTTAAATGTCTCACCATTACTGCCACCCTCCCACCAAAGCAACCAGTGTGCCAATGATGGTTGTGTTTGGTTTGTCTGTCTCCTGTGCCCAGGCTGTGAGTCCTCCTGCTCCACCTCCCAAGTGCTGAGGTTACAGATGTGAGATGAGCCATCATGCCCAGCCCTGTGCTGGTTTCCATTTCAGTGATTTCTGCTCTTTATTCTGGCCTGCCTTCAGCACTCTCACTTCTTGGTTGAGATATTCTTTTCCTATTTGAACAAGTCAGAAGAAGAGCCCAAAGCTACTAGAATAATGGAATTAAAATCAAATAGTAATTTTAACCAATTTTCTTACATTTGTATTGTTGCTTTTCAAAGTTAGTTTCCTCTGTAGCTTTTCTGTTGTGAAATAGATAACGTGAGTTTAAAAATGTTTTCAAAGGACACAGAGAACATTGAGGAATTGCTGTAGTCAGGACAGGTGTAACAGGTCATCTCAAAATCCCAGTGGCGCCGGGCGGTGGTGGCGGCGCACGCCTTTAATCCCAGCACTCGGGAGGCAGAGGCAGGTGGATCTCTGTGAGTTCGAGGCCAGCCCGGTCTACAAAGTGAGTTCCAGGAAAGGCGCAAAGCTACACAGAGAAACCCTGTCTCGAAAAAACCAAAAAAAAAAAAAAAAAAAAATCCCAGTGGCTTAATGCAGCAAAGGTTTGCTTGTACCATGCATTGTGACTCCTCAGTGGCTTTGCCCTATAGTCAGGACCCACACTGGCGGAGCCGCCATCACCTAGCCTGTAGCAGGGAAGAGAACACTGAAGGATGTCCCCATGAGGGCCAACCTAACAGCGAGAATCTAGGAACTAATGTGTGTATATATACAATATGTAATGTGTGTGTATGTGGGGGGACATGTGTATGTATGCCATTTGTGTGTGTGTGTGTGTGTGTGTGTGTGTGTGTGTGTGTGTGTATGGGATGTGTACATGTGTATGGGCTGTGGGGGGGGCAATACGGGCTACTGAAGGACTGAATAAAATGGGGAATTTTCATTGAAGGACTGAATAAAATGGGGAATTTTCATTGTGTGTATCTCAGGAACCTCAGCTTTGTACCTTATCTATTTTTTTATTTTATTTTTTTATTTTATTTTATTTTATTTTACAATACCATTCAGTTCTACATATCAGCCACGGGTTCCCCTATTCTCCCCCCTCCCACCCCCTCTCCTACCCCCCATTCCCACCTCCTCCAGGGCAAATCCTCCCCCGAGGACTGAGATTGAGCTGGTAGACTTAGTCCAGGCAGGTCCAGTCCCTTCCTCCCAGATTGAGCCAAGTGTCCATGCATAAGCTCCAGGTTTCAAACAGCCAACTCATGCAATGGGCACAGGACTCGGTCCCACTGCCTAGTTGCCTCCCAAACTGATCAAGCCAATCAACTGTCTCACCGTACCTTATCTATTATATATAACAAGTTTCAAAACCACTATCAAGCAAGAGTTACATCTTACAAGAGTTTCATTTATGCTTTGTAAGAATAGTTTCCTTAACCAACAGCCAACTGCAGTCTCCTGTAGGTAACAGCAGTAACAGAACCCCGCATTTGGATGGGCCTGTTTCTAGATTCTTTCCTCTATAGATTGGGCCCCTTTTTTCATTTCCACTTGTGACTTGGGCCATAATTATGCACCATACTTTTAGAATTGATCTTAGGACTCTAAAGGTATGTGACACCCACCCTGACAAGTTCTTCACAGGTTCTTTCCATGCAGCCAGCCCACACAGGCATCTCTAGTGCTGATGCATTTCCTGCACCCCAGACCTAGTGCAGGCACAGCTGCACCTGTCTTCCCATGCTGCATTCAGTGCATTAAACTTAAGATCAGAAATGAGATTCTGCAGCACAATTGTTGGATTATAATACTTGCAGTTACTTTTTATTCTCCAACTCCTATGAATGTATAATTTTCCAGAAGCGATATGGTATGTGTGATACCTAGAGAGATTAAATGCAGATGAGAATTTAACTGATACTAAACTAGACACTAAAGCAACTGTGGAACAGTGTAGATTTGCACAATTGTTTTTGGTTTCGGAAAATACAGTGATTTTTCATTTAAAAATACTATTTATACCAAAACTGTTAGGAGATCCTTAAACCAAAAAGTAAGAATTACTGGTATGACACTGGGAAAACTTTAGTATACTACAAGATTTCTTTAAACAGATGCTGTGTTAGGTGTACCCAACTCAGCATGTCAAGTGACTGTCAATCTAAGTACGGTCCTTCTCCCTGCTGTTCAAAGAAACTCAGATGGGAAGCACCTGGGCTGCCTCTATTCCCAAAAGCTTTGTTTTCTCTACGGGGACATATAGACTGTTTACAGAAATGGCTGCTAATGCTGGTCACTTATGTTTCCTTTCACAGAGGTTACTCACATGTGTTGGTACAGTAAAACAACACACAAGGAGCCAACAATAATGCAGTTGAAGGACGTAAAATGAGAACCATAAGTTCAAGTCAAGAAGAGAGTAAGTACGGCGTGTTAGTATAATACAGTAAGTATAGCATGTTAGTATAGTATAGTAAATATTAGCATGTTTATTAGTATAGTATAGTAAGTACAACATCATCTAAAGATAGGAGCTGGGCTTGGTGGTGCATGCCTGTAGTCCCAGCTCTCAGGAAGCAGAGGCAGGTGAAGCCTGGTCTGCAGAACGGGTTCGAGGACAGCCAGGACTATGTGGTGCTACAGATATGAAAGCACCAAAGGGACCAGCCAGGTCTGCCAGTGCCTCCAGCAGGGCCAAATCTGAAAGCAAGTCTCCCAGGCACAGATGTCTGGAAAAGGCCTTCCATGTCTGCTCTCCAGGTTGTACTTGAGGTACATGAATACAGGAATGGCCCATATTCTCTACATCTCTGAATCCCTGTGGATACTTCTCAAGGGAAATTCTGGACAGGTGAAGTATGATTTCACCTCATCCTGGGAGCCCATTGAAAGGAGAAAATATTGGAATTTTGAATATTTATAGTGAGTTATGGGAAAAGGGGCTACATACATAAAATTATCTAAGAAATGTCTCATCTGAGAAAGTTTTGATTTCTGTAGCCATATTCAGGAATCACTGTAAAGTGACCCAAAACCTCATTTCTTGCATGCTCCCTTTAATTGCTCTTACCACCTCCAGATGCATATCTTCCTGAATTTTCTCCCAGTTGTGATTCTCCTGCATATTCTGCTTCAGACTCTTCTTCATCCAACCCTTCCAAGCAAGGTCTCTGCTGGAGCCGATCCTTTCTTCACCTTTCTGAGCCCCTGGGAGACACTGGGTCCTCCAGATGTTAGCCAGCGCTTTCTGGCTTTGCTAATTCTAGTCTGGAAAGAAGATGTAAACAATAGAATCCCTGAAGATAGAGCATTCTCTTGCTTCTTTTACTCCAAAGATGTACTTTGAAAGTTGGATTTTAAAGAAATTGTTAATTTTCATTTTCTTTGGGAGGAGCCGCAGCCTATGTGTGGAGGTCAGAGGACATGGAATTGTAGGGTCAACTCAGGTCATTGGGCTTGGCAGCAGACACCTTCACCTGCTGGAGAACCATCTCACCGGCCCTGGATTTTTATGATTTATTTTTAATTGTGTGTTTGTGTACACATGAATACAGCTGCCCATAGAAACCAGAGACATTGGATCCCCCTGGAGCTGGAGTTACAGATAGCTGTGAGCCATCCAGTATGGGTGCTGAGAACCAAAACAGCTCATCTACAGGAGTATGTCCTCTTTACCACCCAGCCAGTCCTTGGCCCAGGGTTTTTATAAATGGGAACCCTCAGCATTTTCCTCCCTCACCCTCATTTTAAGCCAACATTGGCATGTTTCAATTTAAGCCAATTTCTCTTTTGGTCCAAGGAAGGCTTTATGTGGTCTGTTCTTCCCTCCAGGCTTCCTGATCCAGGCTACCACTCATCATGCAGTGTCAGTCAAGTGGACAGCTACATTTCTTTGTCCCGGAATGGGACTTTTTCAGGAAGGACCAATTTAAACTAGAGTGTGCACAGGGGAAAACAAAAACCTTGAGTGAAGAAAAGTGCTTGCTTCTTTAGTGTCTTTTTAGCTGTGATTATAAAATGCTGTCTTTTTATCAGTTTTTACATCTTCATATAAATAAATTGTTTCCCTCAGTGAGTTTGTGGCACACTAGACTGATGGTCCTGGGGAGTCATGATCCACACTGTGAACAGACTGATAGCCTCCTCAACACTGGCTCCTTCGCCCTCAGTCTCCTCACTAATCTCTGAAATTATTTGGTCATCAGGCACCTGAGGCCTGCCTGCCATTCTTCTTTACTCTGTGAAGTATACAAAAGACAGAAACACCTGCTAGTGTTAACTATCGTACTGTTTTGTCTTCATTTTAGTATTTTATGAATGTATCATTTCACATGAACTTGATGTGTTGCTGTTGTTTTAAATATTTTTTCTTTTAGAATCATTTTGATCACACTCATCTCCCTATCCACCAACCTCATACATTCTGACTCATTTGCTCCTTCCTTCCTTCTTCCTTCCTCTCCCTGGACTCCCCACTCTTATCAAAAAACCATCAAGCCAGTTTGTGTTGGCCAACTCGTTCTGGACATGGATCTTACTCTGGAGTGTGGTCAGTCATCAGTGTCACTCCACTAAAGACAGTGGACTCTCCCTTTCCTGGCACCAATAAAATGCCAATAGCTCCTCAGCTAGGGCCGAGACATGGTGACACATTCCCTCCTCCATTCTGGGATGTGCAGATCTTGTGCATGCCATCACAAGCTCTCTGAGTTCATATGTGCATCTGTCCTGTTCTGTCCAGAAAAGTCTCCTTGAAGTCATTCACTACCTCTGGCTCTTTAAATCTTTCTGCCTCCTCTTCCACATGGATCAATGATAGGAGGATAAGATACAGATAACCCCATTTAGGGCTGGGAATTTTAGTCTCCCTCTCTTCATGTGACCAGTTGTGGGTCTGTATGTTAATTGCCAGCTACTATAATAAGTGTTTCTGATGAGGGCTGAATGATGCACTCATCTATAAGTCATTAGGAGTAGTTTTATTGCTCTATCCATTTAGAGAATAATAGTATGTTTCCTCCTAGGGCCTAAAACCTATCTAGCTACAGGTTCTGGACCTCATTGATGATATCAGATATAGGTTCCATCTTGTAGAGTAGGCCTTAATATCCAATCAAAAAGTGATTAGTTACTTGTATAACATTTATGGCACTATTACCAGGCAGGTTGTTATTGTAGCACACAGAGTTCATTGCTGGATGAGACAATTACTTTTCTCCTCTGGTAGCATGCATAATACCTTCCAACAATATGAAAGCTACCTGGTAGTAGCAGTGGAGCTTCCAGGTCAGTACCAGCTAGATTTCTCCATGTTCTATGACTCAAGTATGTACTATCTTCGGCAATAAGGTTTTACCATCAAATTTCTAGAGGGCAACCAATACATTGGCAATAGGATGTAATGTTTGGGTGCAGGTCTATGGACACCATTGGCCAACAACTCAAAAAATAGGTGACCCATTCCTGGTACTGGTGGTTTTATTTGGAAGCATATGGCGGCTAATTGGGGTATTGCCGACCACCCCCAGAATAACTCCATTTAAATGTGTGCTTCCAAAGGGTCTTTTGTTTTTTAAGACTGTTTCTCTATGTAGCTCTTGGCTGCCCTGGAACTCACTCTATAGACTAGGCTGGCCTCAAACTCAGAAATCCACCTGTCTCACCTCTCAAGTGCCAGAATTAAAGGCATGTACTGGCTCAAAAGGCCTTTAGTATGGGCTATCCCTCACCATATTCTATTCTCTATTATGCCCTCCCAAGCCTACCCCACTTAATCATTCCTGTTCCATTTTTCCCTGCTCCAAAATGTATCATGAAGGAATATTGTTTTTGTCACAGGCCTTTTCTACATCTGTTGAGATGATCATGTGGTTTTTGTCTTTATTCTATTTATGTGGAGAATTACATCTATTGATTAACTTATATTGAACCACCCATGTATCACTGGAAGCCAACTTTATCACAGTGAATATAATAATAATTTTTGATGTGTTCTTGGATTCTGTTTGCAGGTATTTTGTTGAGAATCTTTGTATTTATGTTCATAAGAAATATTGGTCTTTAATTTTCTTTAGTTGGTTTTTGTCTCGTTTGGGTATCAAATACCAGCTTCATAGAAAGAGCTTGGAGATATCCCTTCAGTTTGTTTTATGGAATAACCTGAGGAATAGTGGTGTTTTCTTTGAGGATTTGTTTGGTAAAATTCCAAACTGACTCTATCTGGCTTAGGCTTTTTTAGTTGAGAGATTTTTAATTACTGCTTCTATCTCTTTAGATGTTATAGGTCTATTTCAATTTTTAACTTCGATAGGTTGTACACATACAAAAATTCACCCATGTAAGTTTTCAATTTGGTGGAATACAGATTTCAAAAGCATATACTTACGATTCTGTGAATTCCCCAGTGTCTGCTGTAATGTCATTTTCATCTCTAATATTAGTTTGGATCCTCTCTTTTGGTTAATTTGGCTAAAGGTTTGCCAATACTATTAATTTTTTTTTTAAAGAACTAACTCATCTTTTCATTGATTCTTTGTATTTTTGTTGTTTTTATTTCTTTAATTTCACTTCTTAGTTTAATTCTTCCTGTCTTCTCTTTTTGGGTATGTGTTCTTATTTTTCAAAAGCTTTGAAGTGCATCATTAAGTTGTTAATATGATGAGATAGCTGCAGCCCTAGCTGGTCTGGATCTTCTGTGTAGACCTGGCCAGCCTTGAACTCAAGAGACCCACTTGCCTGTGCCTCCTGGGAGCTGGGATTCAACACACATGCCACTATGCCTGTACTTTGCCTATTATACCCTGCATTTCACTTAAAATATTGTAGAAGTTTATCATTATTTTAACGTGTGAAATTTTTTAACAAATATAGGAAGAATGCTTTTCACTAGAAAACTAAATCTTCCTATCTGAATAAACTTTTTAATGTTTTTTTCTATATATAAGGGATCAAACCTAGGGTTGTGAACATACAAAGCAAATGCGCTACCACTGTGCTACATCCCAGCCTTCTTGTTATTTTTTAATGGCTGCATACAGTACATCTTAACGGTATTCCTACCATCTAATTGTTGCATACAGTACATCTTAATGATATTCCTACCATCTAATTGTTGATATTGCTCATATTTATTGTTGTTAGGATTTGGTGGTTCTTGTTGCTTTGTGTGTGTGTGTGTGTGTGTGTGTGTGTGTGTGTGTGTGTGTGTGTGTGTGTGTGTGTCTATGTGTATTTGGTATATAAGTTGTTGTTTGGAGTTTGCAGGGGAGAGGTGCCAGGGATCAGACCCAGGAGGGGTTTTGCATATTCCAGGCAATGAACTTTATCCCCCAACCTTTTTTTTCTTGAAAGGCCGTTTCTGGAATCTCCTTCCTTTCTTGGCTTCTTTCTCTCTGACCTCTTTCCTACTTGCCCATACATTTGACACTCAAGCTTCAACTCATGCCCTTGGCTCTTGTATTTATGTTCTTGGGTACCGATGCTCATGCCCAATCCTGTTCTTTTCTGTGTTCTCTCCCATTGCCATATCTAAAGCATATCCCAAACCTGCTCTTTCATAGGCTCCCACTATTCTCAACCCAGGTATTTTTGAGCTTCAGAGAAAGCTAGATGGAAAATGTGAAAAATGGCTACTCAAAGTGGCCCCTAAACATAACCTCTAAATCTCACCATCGGAAGGACAAAAAGGGAGGTTGTCTGGAGCAATTGGTAATTACCCTGTGCCTGCTTCTTTTAATGGTTTGCTGAGGTAAATACAAGTATCTCTTACAAGTTGTTAAAAACCATACTTAATAGAGAAGCCACACCTTCATGTGATATTGAAGGACAGCTCAAAAACCGACCACCTCTGATCCTCATCTCTGTGCACAGCATTGGAGAGGTCGCTGTGCAGCCACCGGTCACCTAGTAACACTGCCTCACTCCACTCACAAGTCACAAGCCGATGCACGTGGAGAAGCATGTCAGGTTTACAGTCGGGAGAGCACCATGATAACCTCACGGTTTTTCTTCTTTTTGCAGGAAAGAAAATAAAGCGAAGCTGTTTCTTGTCCTATGTATTCATCAGATCGTCTTGAAATTTCACTAAAATGACAGCTGTTCCTTCAGAGAACTGCTCTTTTCAGCATCTGTTACATCAGTCAAAGCAGCCCCTAGACGTTAATTGTCTGTTGTTCTTGATCATAATTGGGAAAACATTATTAAATATCCTTATACTAGGGATGAAAAGGAAAGACAACTATTGGAGTTTTATCGAGTATTTCTGCTTTTCACTAGCATTTGTTGATCTTCTGCTGTTGGTGAACATTTCCATTCTGTTCTACTTCAGGGACTTTGTAGTTCTAGGTATTAGGTTTACAAAATACCACATCTGTCTGCTCATACAAATCGTCTCCTCCACTTACGGCTTTTTGCATTATCCGGTTTGCTTACTAGCGTGTATAGATTACTCTCTGACTCTGTCTGGAGCCACCAAGCATTCGTCTAAGTGGCACAGGTTCTTTTGCCTCCTGACAGTCACGTTAACCTGGACTTCAGTGTTTGCTTATGTTCTGGGAGAGCCAGCCACCTCACACGGCTTGCAGACACACGGGGCTGCTGTGTTCCAATGTCCCTCCTATGTCAGCACTCAGAGTTACTGGCTGTCACTGTCTGTGCTGACGGTTTCATTTGTGGCTTTTCTGATTTCGTGGCCAGAAGTGGTTGCCCTGGTACAGGCTATGAGGATGGCGTCCTATATGAACGAGACCGTCCTCTCCTTCCCTTTGCCACCCCACTCTGGCCACGCTGTGCGCTCTAGAGAAGCACTCTTGCCCAGGCTTGTTGTGTGCTTTCTTGGTACCTGGTTTCCCTTTGTAACACTTCAGGTCCTCACCCTCTCACTCGGAGTTCAAATCCCAGCGTACGTAGACATGAATGTCCCCTGGCTGTACTTTGTCAACAGTTTTCTCATCGCTGCAATGTGTTGGTTGAACTGCCACAAGCTTTATTTAAGAGGCAGCACATTACCTGTGGACCCTTTTGTCAACTGGAAATGCTGTTTTGTTCCAATCCATAGACTTAAGCAAGTGGAGAGGCCTGTGTCCATAATCATCTGTTAATATGCTGCTGTGTTGGGAGGAACTCCATCCAGAAGCACCAAGATCAATCTTACGAGCAGGACAGAGGTGGCTCAGGACACATGACTGAAGCTCTTGTTCCCTAACTTTCATCTGTTCAGCACAGCCTCTGTGTGGTGGATATCAAATAGTGCTAAGGACACTTTAACACCCCAAAGTTTTTATGCCTGTTTAGCAACACTGTGTAAGCATTTGGTATTAATACAAAAGGAAAATAAACACATGAACATGTGGCCAGCTTGATGCTTTACTCCAAAAAACTACTGGATGCAAAATGTTAAATAAATTTGAGATTTCACTGCCAACTTTAAAATCTGAACTTAAATATGTTATCAACTTTAAAGCAAAAAAAAAAAAAAGACAAAATGATTTGGTATAAATAAACTTTAAGGGGAAGATTAGTTCATTTTAAATATAGCTAGAGTATTTTATTACAGATATTCCCGGAAGTTGCAGCTGTTCAGCCTATGGAGCTGGGAACCCTGGGGGCTCTTGCCATGACACAACAATTGCATGTTCATTTAGAACATGTGCACATCAGATCATAATCATGTTAGCAACATATACTACAAAAAGCCTTGGGCTGTTGAGATTTAAGGCTCGATAATTCTGTCTTGTAGGGGTAACCCCACACACTGTATAGATGCCAGTGACACCTTCCCCAGAAGTGGCAATCAAAAATGTCTCCACATATTCCCACCCCCACTCCCCTGGTGTGAAGCAGTGTGGGTCAGAAAAAGCTGAAATCACTTTATGATGGCCGATATTTACAAATACTAATATGTTTCAAGAACCACCCCTAGAATTTCTAAAGTGAGTGGCTTTTAGGCCACAACTCACTTGGTAGAGTGCTTACAGCACACAAAGCCCCAACACCCCAAAACAGTGTAGTACTGCGTGCCTACAATCCTGTAACTGAGGCAGTGTAAGCACAAGACCAGAAATTCAAGGTCAGTCTGGGCCACATGAGATCATCCAGTCTCCCTCTCCGCAAGATGTTTTAAAAAGTAGTTGTGACCTATGGAGTGAAGTTCATGATCCACAAATGGGTTGTATCCTGAAACAAGTGGCTGGTGTGCCTGGCACTGTGTAAGTACTACTCACCCTGACAACACTGCCGCATCCTCTTTACATCCTCCTCTCGCAGGGAAGGGTACTAAAGCAGCAGCATTAAGAAGCCTGCCCAAGCTCACTCAGCTAGTGTCCCACTATACCCCCATTCGTCAGTCCCACTCACTGTTTCTCAAGAGGATGGCTTTCTGTGATAGTTTTTACTTAAAACGTAGTTTCTGTGACAGCTTAACTGAGGTCCTGTTTCCTTGAGCATCCAGGTCTTCAGGTTAGGACCAGCCACCAAGAGACAATTTGGCCATGCTGCTAGGTGATTAGGAGTTCTGAGTGAGCTGCAAGCACAGGGCAAGCATTCCTGGTCTAAAACGCTTTTGGATAAGGGATATTCAATAATGTCTGAAAAACTTAAGGTATCCAACATTCCAGATGACACCTTGTGATGCAAACCTAACCAACCTGAGCCATTCTAAGAAAAAGGGCACTGGAGCAATGAAGTGGTCAAATAAACCATAGGACTCTCTCTGGGATGTCAGGTTTCATTTGCTAATGCAGAGGACCTCTGGCTGCCAATAACCTAGGCTTTTATTACCCCAATTTAGAGGTCCTGCTTTCAGCGATAAAACGCAGAGTGATTGGCCTGATTTAAGTCACGTGCTCATCTGTGGCCAGTGTTGCTGCAAGGACACACTGGGAGGAAGGGAATTTAAACACTAGGCTGCAGTATATAAAATGTTCAAAAATTAGGCATTAACAGGTAAGAGAAGGTATAAATTCTTAAAATGCAAATCGATACAATGACATCCAAAGCCACCATGCCTGATTTGTGTGGTGCTGGGGATTGAACCCAGGGCTTCAGGTATGCTAGGCAAGCACTGGACCAACAGCAAAGCTCAGTAGACCTGAGCCTATGAGCAACGGCATGTACCTGAGTTCAGATGTTAGAAGCTGGCCCTTTTAATTCACTGATACATGTTTTCCTCTCCATGTTTGTTTGTTTGTTTTGGGTTTTTTCTTTTTTCTTTTTCTTTTATCTTCCAATTAACCATAACATGAGAATAAAACATACTTAGCAATATTGAATTTAATGTATACTTCTTGTAGATTATATACTAGGAAATTTATAACCAGTTCAGCCCTCCATTAATGCAGATTATATACTAGGAAATTTATAACCAGTTCAGCCCTCCATTAATTAACTTAGATTTCCCCATCTCTCAAAATCTTAAAAAAGTAAAAACTCAATAACCAGTCAGGTTTTTATTTGTAAAGAACTGAAGTTACAACTGGTCTACAATATATTAGCGTAATATAAACAACATAAATAAAAGATCCTGTAGGCCCACTATTAATAATCTTCCACCCAGACCCACTCAAAGCCATGTCACAATACTCTATGTGAAGTGCAGGGAACAAAGGTGCAATCCAAGCAAGTGTAAGCAGCAGAGAATAAGGTGCTTCCATTAACAGTTAATGTTGCCAGCAAACATCTGATGCTCCATTTTAGTCACTGAATAGACACACAAACAGGAAGTCTAAAGTTCATACACATGCGACTTAATATGAAAGTGCTTTCTCTTTTCTTAAAAAAATACATCAAATGAACACTTTTTACATAGATAATGGTGTGCTCTTATAATGCAAAATTCACTTCATTTTCAGGTTATACACTGTAAAACTGTAGCTAGGAACACCAGTCGAGGAAGTCTATCTAAGGTGCTCGAACTATGTCATTTCCTGTGAGGACTCTAATACAACATTCATGTAAGACACATTTCTATAACCTTAATATTTGCTTTCTCTAAGATTAAAACACATTCTCTTGCCCCCTTGGTGGTGCTTTTTTCCTTGATGAATCTTTTGAGATTTTTTTAATTATGAAACTTTGATTTTAGAACAATGGGAAGAACCAAAGGAAGGTTTTTTTTTATGTGCTTAAAACATTAAAAAATAGTTAATCACAGAAACTTGCCCTGTGAAACAAACTTTAAGCAGTAAAAAGACAAAACATTCTCACTAAATCACGAGGCTTGAACTCCTTTGCCTACTGTCAGCAACTACCCCTGTGCACAGCCGTCTGCAGCATCCGACCTTCATTTCCAGCACAATCCTGCACTGCCCAAGAATTTCTGAAGTTTGGAAAAAGAAAACCAAGAAGACCCATCTTTTGAGTGAGGTGATCAGCAGTCCATCAATGTGAGAAATCACACACAAAATTATAATCTATATTCTCGGCTAAATTCTGAAGTTCCAAGAATACAGCTACAAAATCAGCGTTAATGCAACACAGATCAACAGCACGGGATACTTTACAACTTAGGTATACTTTAAAGAACTTAAAACACTTTAAAAGTAACCAGCATCATAGAACAATTTACAAGGGCCGGATTATTGGGCTATTTAGATTAGTATACCTTAAAAAAAATCTGTTTGAAAGCATCTATCTCATATATATATCTATAATCTAACACTTTATTTGGACATTTCCCCACTTAAAAAGCTACAGCTATGATACATAAAAGTTTTTAAAATATATTTTTATATCTTTATAAAGAATGTTAGTATCAACTGATGTTAATATTTAAAGCAAAAACTACCACCTGATTCACAGAGTCCCAGAGGGAAAAGGGAACTGACCCAATTACAGCTGATTCTCACTCCATCTTGACTACTCAAATCCTTGCTGGCACAGCAGGATCTGCTTTGTTACCAGTTCTGCATTTCATGAGGTCATAACACACCCTCTTCTGACTGACACACAAGACAATCAATACTAGAAACAGCAGCAGCAGCCTCTTCTCCTGGTTTCCTTTCAGATGTTTCTGTTTTGGAAAACTGCTACACTGTCAATACTGGATATAAACCTCTGTGACTGGTCCTGAGGCTGCCTGTCACAACTCTCACAGTTGGTCACGGTGAGCACTCTTATGTTGTCAATGGTATGTGAAAGGTGGTATGAGAGCGGGGATGTGATTTGGACCCTTCGGGTATTATTAAACCCTAGTTCCCAGGCAACAGGGCATTAACTGGGAGTAAGTACATACGTGCTTTAGCAGCAGTGAGGTTGTTTGGGAAGACTTGATTTGTTTTTTTTTTTTTTTTAATACAACCCAAGTGTTAAATAGTTTACAAATGGATGAATACATGCATGAGTAATAGTATTCACCTGTCATTCAGTCAGGCCAGTGGTAAATAACCAATTATGTATGTAGCTCAGGACTGTAATTTTAGAGCTGGGGAAGGGTGTTTCTTCAATAATGACTTAAGCCAAAATTCAACATATTTAGTAGTGCAGGTACACTCGGATGAGATTCAAAACCAAATAATTGCTCAAGGTGTCACACACAGCTAATGTGCCATCTACCAAGTCTCAAAGCCACCATGTTTCATCTCCACTCAGTATGGTAATGCAGCGAGTGTATTTATGTTACTCACTACTGAAGAAAAATAGTAATTTTGCACACTTTTTAGTGCTACCAAAAATTTTAAACACAGGTACTATGTACAAGGACTTTAAACACTGTACATATTTAGTTCACTTGTGGCAAGACTTCAAATGCCCCTCCCTTCTACAGTAGCTCACACCTGTTTCAGTGATGATGGAATCTCTACCCTCTCTCACCACTGTCAGAGAAAGGTCCACAAAGCACAGGTTAACACTGACGAATCCCACTAAGCCAATAAGCAGTAGGCACTATAAGTATCTAAGATGATGACTGGCATTGATTTAGACAGTATAAAACGACATAACTACATCCCTCTTTTAGTTCATTAAAATTATACCCTTTTCTTTCTATACCCAATACCAGCAATATCACGAATAGCAGCAGGTATACACTTGAAAAGCAACAGAAAGAACTCTGCCTAGAATATAAGGTGTTAGAAACTTATTTGTACCTAACATTTCATTAAAATTGTATTTTCCATTAAAATTGTAAATAAAATGTCCACAAGCTATCAAAAGGAAAAAAAAAAAAACTCCTGTGGAAATAATTTCCCATAACTATGGCACTTGCCAGCAAGTGTGTGTGCACATGAGAGCCTGCCTCAGGGAAGCTGGGAGCACATCACAAAAGAGGGCGGGCCTCCTAATGTTCTTTGGAACATGGTAATAATTGTATTTTAACTGCTACCTTGTAACTTTCAAAAGGAAAAAAAGTTTTCTCTTAGTGTAA